TTCTATATTATTAATAATTTACGCTAAATCTAGGATATTTTGTCGCTTTCGCAAAAATGTAAGATTTCCGCAAAGTAGTTTATATAACATATGCATAACAAAGTTGAATAAGTGATCGAGCAATGATAATATCACAACTCGCGAGTAACGTAAAAATCACATGATTCAATTAATGACAAATTTGAGCATTAAATATCGTAAATTTATTATAAAGTTGTATAAATTCAGATGTTTAATTAATTATTAGAGTATTATTTATCAATAATTACATAATCATAAACAATTTAAGGTATGTCTAAAATAAATATATAAGTTTGAGTAAATAAGGATTTTTATAACAATGGGAAAGTTAATTTTGAAGTACTATGTACAATTACCTTTTTCATTTATATTAGCTTTATAAATCTTTTCCAAATATTGTACATCAACAACATATTCTGTTAAAAATAATTGCAATGAATCTAGTCTTCTTTTTAATTCATGGTTATTTAAATTATCAGTAGTTTTCGGATGATTAATAAATGGAATAAATTCCAATGTATTTTGCAACTTTGTTTGTACTGATTTATTTATCTTAAAACCATATTTTTGAGCTAATCCCCATGGCTTAATACCAATAGTGCCTAAACATAACAACTTATATTAGTTATAATTGTTATTTAAATACAGATACTGTAACTTTATCTAAAACTTACCAAAAAGTATTGCATAAATTGTTGCAGCAAATCCCCATGCACCTCCGATTAATCCAAGTGAATTCAAAACCTAAATTATTTTTTATAATTGTTATTTTAATTTACATACAATGGATAAATTTTAAATACGTACAGTTTTGGTTCTTTTTCAAAACATCAAAATGTATCGAATGATTAATTAATAGTCAATTGTTTATAAATTAAAACCTGACTCAATAAACTTAATAAAAAACCTTTTTTCAGTTTCAACTTGAGTAATAAACGATTGTGGTTCAATTGTCACTTTTGCGAGTAATATCAATGTTGGAAATTCAGTATCATTTAAAAGAGGAGATGTTTCTTGTAAGTATTATAAAAAATTAACATTAGTTTAATAATATTTTTTGTAAACGGTTATGGAATAATAATAGTATATACCCAAATTCGATGTAAAATAAGGTATACTTAGAAGTTTAGATGAAAACCCTAAATAATTTTCCCAGCTCGGTAACATAAGTTCTTTTCTTTTTCTTTTTATTTTAAATTTATAGGACTGTTAAAAAGGTAAATAAAAGTTATAAAATATAAATTAGTTATTGATGTTTACAACTCAAAGAATCACAACTCATACTATTCTATTCATATTTAAACTGTGTGACTCATTTTGAAGCGATTCATTTGACATTTTGAGTTAGAATTTCATTCAATTCAACTTAAATATGAGCCATAATCAACTATATCGCTAATTAAATATTATAAATATTTACACTAAGTGCTGCAAGTTGGTATAGATTTAAGGTAGTAATCGTATTAGGAAACTTTGAGTATGTTGAAAGTTGATTTTGAACTAAATCTGAATTCTGAAACTCTTTAGAACTTTTAAGGTAATCTATTTAAGTAAAATATTGTTAATGTTAGTATCATTATTTTTTACCAAGAATAAAAAGCCTCTCTTAGATGACTTAGTATTTTAGCAACAGAGTAAATTTCATTTACAAAATAGAAATGATATGCTAACCTCCATCTAACATAGTAAAAATAATATATGGTAGTGTAAATGCTGGTGAAAAATTAGCACTTATATTATTTCTAGTATCATTCAAATAAATTTTAAATTCCAAAGAACTTATTCCATTATTAGGTACTGCGGAAAACTTTAAATCGCGTGTAGTAAAAAGTCCTTCAATTGAATTCTTTCCAAGAGTGTTTCTAATGGAATACTTTATATATCTGTTACAGTCTTGAATACCGCCTAGTATGCAAGTATTATCAAATTTAGAGCATGAAGAATTTGAGATTTCAACATATAATACTTACTAGCATTTACAAAATGGCAACTAATTCTCATATTTTGTTCGGAACCATATACAAAACCTACCAAATTAAAATTTCAGTAATCTGATCCGTCTTTTAATTAGTGCTAAAATTAAAGTTACCTGGAACAGGAATATAGTTTTCTTCTTGCAAAGAATTTTGAATGACAGGATTATCATTATAAATGCCCCAAATTATTAACCAAGTGTATCCCAATAAAGCGATTAAAAGTAATATTGACACAGAACTTTTAAATATAAATAATGAAGTTGCTTCAGTCTTGCGAGATTTTTTAAATAATTTTTCAAAAGTCATTTTTATTCATAAAGTATATTCAAAATGATAGTTAATTCTTCGTTTTTAACAAAACAATTAAATATATATTACGAAAATAATTTTCTTGCACTTACATAGCACTATAATGCAAGTTAGTAATACAATAGCACAAACATCATCAGATTCAATAGCACAAACATCATCCGATTTTCATATCCAAATTTACAAAATCGCCTCTTAGACAATAGGACGACGAAAACTACTATTTACCCGAATTAATGATAATGTTTCAATTTGTAAACGAAATGTATTACTTTATTTAGATACTTTATTTAGATATCTGTTCGACTATAGACTATAGGGGCTAAAAGTTAAAATGTGAATGTGATACGCAATACCTAATTGCCGCATTTAATAATTTATTGGGAATTAAAATTTTTTTTTAATAGATCACAGCTTATTTTCAACCCCGTAGTCCCACCCAAATAAGGAGGTTGGCTAAAGTTCTTTGATGCAGATAGTTATTATACGACTTATGCAGTATGTAGATCATATATTGATACGTAACTCAGCTCTCAATTCATGGAAATATCACAAAATCTGCAGGGCGCAATAGAATTATGGGCCACCGAGAAATAAAATTAACATATCGTTATATAATCTGATTAGTGTATCGCCATCGACAGCAATATAAACAGCAATATAAATTGATATTAGTCTATACTAAAAACTGAATGCCTTTCATAAGAATGCCGTTGAAAAAAATATTTCGGAAAGATCGCAAGACTGAACCTATGTCAGTCTTTTCGTTACGACTTATTGTAACGGCACTATTTGGAATCATTCTGGTTGGATACTCTATATTTTTGATTTTGG